AAGCTTTCCCCATCCGTCTTCCTTCTTCTTCTTCTGAAAGCAGCAATGGAGGAGTGCAACAAGCAGTTCTGCAAGAGCTACATGCTCCTGGACTACGACAAAATCGGCCTCGTCGACCTCATCAGCCTGTTGATCTCCCCCAACATAGGGAAAAGAAAGTTCGTCGACTGCAAGCAGACCTCGGAGCCGAGCTTCCGCCGGAGGTGGCTCATCTTCCTCTCCATCGTGGCCCACAAGCTCCTCCAGCTCATCGCCAGGCCCTTGTCCTTCGCCGGAACCTGCGTCGAGTTGTGGCTCAGCCTCTTGTCCCGCAACGGCGGCTTCCCCGGCCTCTTGTTCAACACCCTCACATGTAAATGAAAGCATCTATTTTGTTTGTGCTTTGATTTTCGTTCATAATTAACATTGTATATAGGTAATTTAATTACTAAGTTGATCAATGTAGTCAAAATCGCGTTTATACGTAGAAACGTTTTGATGATCTAGAAACGTAAAATCGTAAGTCTTTAAAATTTTAAAGCGCGTTTTTAACTACATTAGCTACAAAAACTGTGATTTTGCGTAGAAGCGCTTTGGTGACCTAGAAACGTAAAAGCGTAAGTTTTTAAGCTTTAAAACGCGATTTTGACTATATTGACGTTGATTTTTGCATGCAATTATTACAGGGCAAGTAGTGGCTCCGGACAAGACGTCGTCGACGTACGTGTCGTTCGTGGGGAATTTCGACCACAGGACCGAGCTGGACGGGAACATCAAGCGAGGGGATCCGAGGTACAATCCGGCGCTTGCGATAATGGCGGCTAAGCTTTCGTACGAGAGCGGGAGCTTCATTGAAACCGTTGTCAATCAGCATTGGCAGGTAAAATTACTAACTAGAATATGTCATAGGGGTGTGCATTAGTCAGGTCCGTATCAGACTACAGCAGACCAAACCGAAAGTTTGGACCAGACCGAGTATAATGCGTGTTCTGATCTTTTGGTCCACATGAATTTTACAATTACGGAAGGAAAATGATGGACCGAACTGATATTTGGACCGGACCGCGAATGCAATGATGGTCCAATCCTTGATTCTACGATGTCTTTCACTAATAGACCGCGGTTCTCATAAGTTTGGTCCGGTCCGGACCGAACTAAACCATTGCACACCCTCAGTCCTAATTTCGAAATTATCATCGTCTAGACTGGCATGTTTAATAAATTTTGTCATGTCTAATTATTAGTTGACCGTTAATATTTACGAGCAATTTTTTATTATGTTAGTGAAGCGGTTTGGTATTACTTTTTTTTGCTTTTTTATAAGGGTGGTATTAATGTTAATTTCCAATCTTCAAAATTTGATGCAGATGGAGTTTTTGGGATTTTTCGACTTCCATAACGGTAAGGCTTCAAGACATACACAACTATTCGTAAATAATAATAAAAAATTATGTATATACTTTTACATTGGTTGAACCAAATGGGTTTTGATTAATTACCAGTTTAATCACAATTTAAAATGTCCTCGCAGCGTACCAAAACAAAGCGTCGACGCAAGCGTTTCTGATGCGCGACAGAGCCGCCGACGGCAGCGAGACCGTCGCGGTGGTGTTCCGGGGGACGGAGCCGTTCGACGCGGACTCGTGGTGCAGCGACGTGGACATCTCGTGGTACGAGCTCCGCGGAGTGGGCCGGATCCACGGCGGGTTCATGAAGGCACTGGGCCTGCAGAAGTGCCTGGGCTGGCCCAAGACGCTCCAACAGTCCGGCCCAGAACACGGAGACCGCCCGCTGTTCGCCTACTACAAGATCAGGGAAATGCTGACGGAGATCATGTCGCAGAACGAGAAGGCGAAGTTCTTCGTCGCCGGCCACAGCCTCGGCGGCGCGTTGGCCACCCTGTTCCCGGCGGTGCTGATGCTCCACGACGAGGACGTGCTGCTTAAGAGGCTGGAAGGTGTGTACACGTTCGGCCAGCCGCGCGTCGGGGACGAGAAGTTTGGGAAGTACATGAAGCGGAAGTTGGATGAGTACGGGATCGGGTATTACAGGTTTGTTTACGGGTTCGACATTGTGCCGAGGCTGCCGTACGACGATGCCAACCTCATGTTCAAGCATTTCGGGACTTGTATCTTCTTCAACCGAAACTACCATGGACAGGTACGTCATATCATAACTTATAATTCGAGTTGTTGAGAAAAAAAGTTAAATTATAGATTGTATATCATTTTGTGTGATAAAATAGCTCTGATATTATGTTCTAGACCGACGGATTCCAAATGACTCGAATTGTTGGGAGAAGTCTATGCATGACATGATTTAACCACTTCCTAACACGCCCCTCAAACAAAAAATCAACTCATGCATGTGTTTGAAGTTTGCGTGCATGCCTACCATACCATGTGTTTTAAAGAGAACGGGTTAGTATTGTGATCGTGAGTACTTGAACATGTGATCTCAAGTACAAACTAGCTCAGACACCATGTGATGAAGAACCAGTTAATCCCAATGATTCGAGTTATCGGAACCAGCGAAGGTTTATGACATGGTATCAGATCTTGTTTATGACATGGTATCAGTGTTGGTTTGTCATTGAGGTCAAGTGTTCAAGTCCTCTCAATCTCAAAATTAACCATTGTCTTTTAAAGCACAAGATAAGATTGACATGTGCAAACTTTTTAACACGCACCTCTCAAATAATGAAAGCCAATTCATGATCATTGAAATTTCCACACGTCCAAACGTACCTTGCGCTTAGATAAAGTGCTACTATTCGGGGTCGTTGAGATTTGACACACGACCAGTTGGTCAAACCAGCTATGCTACCATGTTATAAACCACTAGTCTGAATAATTCGAATTGTACATGCCCGCATGCAGGTGGTTGTGGAGGAGCCATACAAGAACTACTTCTCTCCGGGAGGGACGGTAGGAATGATATGGAATGCGTTGATGGAGCTGACGAGAAGCTTCACGATAGCCATCGATCACGGCGAAGAGTACAGTGAAGGATGGCTGCTCACCGGCGTCCGGCTGGTCGGGTTGCTGATTCCGGGGTTGCCGGCCCATTTGCCACGGGATTATGTGAACTGTACCCGCTTGGGACCGCCGCACCTACTTCATTCATCATGATCATATGATGGAACTTCCACCTCTAATACGTACCTCGTTCTACTTGTGTGATCGATCGATATATGGATGAATTTGGAAAAGTAACGTTTTGTGGTTGGATTGTTTTTGATTTTTTTTATAGAATCCATGTTATAATAAGGCAAGTCCAAGGGGCAATAATTGTTGTGGTGTGTACGTTAATAAATAATATAAGATTTATAGTTGAATTTTTATTTATTAATAATTTAAGTTATTGAGAATAAGTGATTATTTGTATAGTAATATGAGAGTTTTTGATGGATGACTGAGAGATGTGTGTCCGAACATTGTTTACTTTAAAAAGTAAAATTGTTCTTTTGATTTCGTTCTAAATGGCCGTCATTGTTCCCAAATTCATTGGATGCTACAACTTGAGAGTTGGGTGTCTCTATCTCTCCACTATGGTTAGTTATGTCTACAAAGGGAACTCAATTGCATCGGGGGCGATGAGAAAAGGTTGAGCCTCCGTAGTTTTCATGTGGATGATTAGTAGTATAGTTATAGAGAGGAACATTATAGTTGTTGTCACTATTGTTGTTCATTATTAAATTAATATTGAATGGTAATTTAAAGTGGAGGCAAAATGTATATATAGGTTTTTTTTTTTTGCCATTAGATCTTCTCTGAAAAAGAGAGAGGAACAAAGATCTACAGATTTACAAGAAAACCTGTCTACAATGCAAACAAAAAATAAAGTCAAACCCCGAAAGAATTCGGAGTGACAAGATCAGAGCCAAAACGACCACCAAGTGAGCCACTCTGAAACCATTACACCCAACAAAACCAAAAGGATCCCTCCCTACCAGGTTGCCGCCAAGACGCAGAATAGCTGTCGCCGTCCAAGTCCAAAACAAACAGAACCACCATCTCGTCCTCCATGGACGTAGCCACATCAAAGAAACCCTGCATAGGAGTGGAAGACATTGCATTACATCTCCCTCAAGCTGAAACCCTGCAACCAACTCTTCCTTCTCATCCATTCTACAAAGGCTCTTGATTGACAATTCAAGAGGTATATTTGAAAACCAGACAAACGCACCACAACACATGACAAATAGGGGTAAACGCCAACCCACAATTCTGAAGCACAAACAAAAGAACTGAACAATCACCAACACAACAAACAACACAACATATCGAACACAGAGACATCAACCTACTGCCAAGCAGTGAAAGAAGAACACAATAAACAACAGAACAAAATGAACAAACAATAGCTACAAAACCTACTACAATAAAAGAGACGCACAAACAAGAAAAAAGAATGGATAAGTCGATAACCTGGACCTTTGAAAAGATTGGAACGCCAGAGCCGAACCAAAGCCCCAACAAGTCCATGAAGGAAAAGTGAGAATGAACACCGAACACGAGAAGGAAACACGAAACCCAGAAATACAGAATGAAAAAAAAATTGAACAAACAACGAGCACGACACAAGATCTATATGCGTGGGGGGATACACACGGCTTCCTTAGATGATTGGAACAGGGTGATGGTGACGAATGAATATACATGATCTCCAAGCCGATTGAGACAGGAACCATTCCAGCACCAATCACGTGCAACAAAACCAAAATTAGTCAACCATACATACGTGGGTGATGCCCACGACTACTAAATTACCCACAAAGCAGAACCAGATCAAGTGACAAATGGAGAATTGCCCCATCGTCGGCAACTGCGCACCGGGCGGGAACCACCTCCATATTGCTTGAATCCGACGATGTAGTTGTTAAAAGGCTCGTTCAATTGGGCTATAAGCCTTTTAAAAACTGCACCGTAGTGTTAAAACAAATGTGGGCCGGAAACTATGGATCCAAAATGAGAAGATGTGGCACGTGTCCCAGCCGGAGCAAGTGGCTAAAGGTAAACGGATGTAGAAAATCGGGAGGATGTTAGAGAGAGAGAGAGACAAGAGGCGGGAGCGCAAGGGAGGAGAGGGGAGATCGGAATTTAGGGTTTTGAAATTCGCCGGGAAATTTTGGAAGGTTAGTGAGCGCGCGACTGATCATCCATTGCAGTGGCTTCTCAAGCTTTAAATTTTCATTTTTTGTTGCATTCGCGAGCTACTGCTTTTGTGTAGAGGAAAACAAAAACCAAAGGGGGAAAAATGCCAGCGGAATTGGTGAGTTTGATTTGGTATTTGATGATGTCTGTTTGTGAGAAAGAGGTGTGCTTGTCATGTGCAGGGAGCGGCGAGGAAGAAGAAGAAGAGTGGTGTGTGAGAGATTCTAGAGAGAGAGAGAGAGTGTTTGCTGTGATTCTACGAGAGCGATACCAATTACCTCCATTAACACCAATCCTTCGAGTGTGATAGAGTGTATTTTTGCCATCCTAAGCTTCCAATTCTTCGTAATTTTCTGATGGAGCGGAAGCTTGTGGTCAGTACTTCTACCCCTTCCGATGCGATCGGTTTGTTGCTTGAATGATTGTGGGTTTCCAGGTTGGTTGCATTGATTCTGTGGGCTCTGTGTGCAGGTTCTGGGTATTCCGTGGGAAGTGGATACCGATGGTTTGAGGGACTATATGAGCAAGTTCGGGGATTTGGAGGACTGCATTGTCATGAAGGTTTCAACTTTTGTCTCGTATTTGACTTGCTTCTGAAATGTTGTCCTTAATTATGCGGGTTAATACCTTAGTTTGGCCCGAACTATACACATATTTTCTACTTTGGCCCGAATTATTGAATATTGCTACTAGGGCCTGAACTATGTAGCAAACTTCCTCCTTTGGCCTGGAGGCAGGTTTGACCATCAAATTAGACGGTCAAACATGTTGATCGTTAGTCAACGTACACCTCACCTGCCACGTCAGATGGGAGAAACATAAAAAATTATTTTTTCTTTTTTATTTTTTTTCTTTCGATTAATAACATTAATAATATAATTCTTATACCAAAAAAACTAAAAAATCAAATAAAAGAACGAAAAAAAAAAAGAAAAAGCCCAAAATTATCTTAGCCCTTCACTTCCCTTATCCTCCCGCATCAACCGGAGACTATGGAGGGCTGACGACCCGATCCCGATCCACAACCCGGAAAAAATGGTCGCCTCCACCTTCCTCGCCGTCGACGCATCCTCCAAACTATCCAATCCAGTTGTTAGAGCATCGCCAACCGCAGCCGGCAAGACTACTTTCCTCCAGCTACCTCTCAAGCTCCGCAACCCTGGATCCCTCAAGCACGCTTCCTCCTTCGCTGGAAGCAGGAGATCCTTCTCTTGCACTAGCCAGGCCGCTTCCTTCCACGACGCCAGACCTCCATGTAACTACTCTCTCTCTCTCTCTCTCTCTTCCTGCTCTGCCAATTCAGATTTCTTTTTTATTTTATTAATTTCGATTTCGATTTTTTGCAGCCAAAGTTGAGGAGCTCCACGTCTACGAGATGAACGAGCGAGATCGAGGGAGCCCCGCCGTCCTCCGATTGAGCCAGAAGCCGACCAATTCCTTCGGCGATCTCGTCCCTTTCGCTGCGGAGGGACCGCGATTGGAAAAGCCTGCACCTAGGGCGCTAGGGAGAGGCTCTGTTCCTCCGGCGAAGGAGAGTTATCTGCCCTCCAGTTTGAGGTCGTCCGAGTTTCGGCGCCAGGGAGAGGCTGATGGTGATGTTGACGATAGAGCTGGACCTGGCGAGCAGAGTCAGAGAAAGGGGATAAGGGAAGTGGAGGGGTGAGATAATTTTGGCCTTTTTCTTTTCTTTTTTGGTTCTTTTAATTGACTTTTTAGGTTTTTTTTGTATAAGAATTATTATTAATTTTATTAATCGAAAGGAAAAAAATAAAAAATAAAAAATAATTTTTTATGTTTCTCCAATCTGACGTGGCAGGTGAGGTGTACGTTGACTAACGGTCAACAGGTTTGACCGTCTAATTTGACGGTCAAACCCGCCTCCAGGCCAAAGGAGGAAGTTTGCTACATAGTTCAGGCCCTAGTAGCAATATTCAATAATTCGGGCCAAAGTAGAAAGTATGTGTATAGTTCGGGCCAAACTAAGGTATTAACCCTAATTATGCCAGCAAGATCGTGTTGTAGACGCAGGGCATATTGTTGCCTTTGTGGATAGTTATTAAACTGCTATAGATCAGCTGGTTGTGCTTTATTAGGCGGCTGAAATTTGTTTCTGGTTTGTGACAAATTTTAAGCTTCACTTTCCTTGTTTGTGGAGTAACGAGACTTTTGATTGTCTTTCTCACTGCTCTTTTGATGCTTTAGGAGCGGTCTTCGGGTCGATCTCGTGGTTTTGGCTATGTCACCTTTGCGTCGATGGAAGATGCCAAGGTAATAAGAAATTTTGAATTACTAGAATCTATATATTGTCTTCGTGTTAGTCTTCTCAGTGTAGCACGGGTGCTGGTTCAAGTCTCTTCTTATACTGACCTGTTCCGGCTTTTACTGTCTGGTAGAACGCATTAGAGAGTGAACACTACATGGGGAAAAGAATGTTGGAAGTTAAAGTGGCAACACCAAAGGTTGTGATCTGGAGACATTTACGCTTATGTCAAAGCAGATGTTCATGTACCAGTTGTATACTCAGATGTGCTCAGGCCTACTGTATTACCTTATTGCAGGAGGAGATGAGAGCCCCTTCCAAGAAGGCAACGAGAATTTTTGTTGCTCGGATCCCACCATCTGCAACAGAAGGAGCTTTCCGTAGGTAATTTAACTGCATGGTGAACAAGCTGTGAAGTATAGCTTTATGTATCCCTCACCGGTTTTGATTTAGGTGTCGAGTGGATATGGGGACAAAGTTGATGTCTTTAAGTCTTCTTTTGCAGTCATTTTGAGAGATACGGGGACATAATAGACTTGTATATGCCAAAGGTGAGCTTCTCTACTCCTCTGAAAGAGTAGCAAACGCAAAGGAAGATTTAGAGAACTCTGTTTCAGTTTCCTATCTTTATTTGAATATACCAGCTGTCACAATGCATTGTGCTTTGTTAATAGATGTTCTTTGTTTACCTGTACTGAAGGGTCTTGCTCTACTATAAAACTGAATTTTTTTTCCCTGCAGGATCACAGTTCAAAAACCCATCGCGGAATTGGGTTTATCACATTTGCTAGCTCAGGTTTGGTTCAGTTGTAATCGTGCCTTTTGTCTTGTTACAAATCCTTGTTAAGCATCCAATGTGTATTCAAGCTCCCTTCCTGTCGCAGAATCCGTGGATAGTTTGATGGTAGACACACATGAATTGGGTGGTTCCACAATTGTTGTTGACCGAGCAACACCCAAGGTAATTTGTGGCAGTAGATCTGAGCTTTCTTTTTCAAATAAAGAATACTTGTTCCCCCTTCTATGGAAAGGTTTTCCAATATTCCACATTGTTTGAGGTATTTTGGAGGCTTCAAATTTCGATTGTGAATTTGGGTTGTTTATGTAACTGCGTTGTTTCAGGAAGATGATTTCAGGCCGGCAGGAAGAGTGCCAGCAGCAGCGCATGGTGGTGGCTACGGTGCATATAATGCCTATATTTCAGCTGCAACTAGATATGCAGCCCTTGGTGCTCCTACCTTGTATGACCATCCAGGCCCGCTATATGGAAGTAAGTATTGCATCAAATGGTAACATACAGATTCGTTGAGCCAAGTTCACTTATAGATGATTTTCGCTTTCGCTAATCCTCATTGGACCAGGAGCTGAACCACCATCTAGGGGAGTTGGGAAAAAGATTTTTGTTGGAAGGCTTCCTCAAGAGGCAACTGCTGAAGATCTGCGTCTATATTTTGGCAGATTTGGCCATATAATGGATGTTTATGTCCCAAAGGTAAGGCTGCAAAAAACACCTTTATCTGCAAATAAGAATTGCAAGGATCAGCAACTTAATGTCTCATGTGCATAGGACCCTAAGAGAAGCGGTCATAGAGGTTTCGGATTTGTCACCTTTTCAGAGGACGGTGTGGCAGATCGTGTATCTCGAAGGTCTCACGAGATTTGTGGGCATCAGGTACTACGCACTTTTCCTTCGGTTTACCCTCATGTAATTCTGGGTGCAAACCAAACATAATTTTGGTATCATTTTGCATATGAAATTATCTTACTCAATTAATCTATCACCATTAATGTCACTGTATGTGTTTGGTTGGGGAAGTAGGCTACTTTATCTCATATGTAAATGACTAAATGGACCTTTCTTTCAGTTCTGCACTCCCCTTCATTCCTCATACTAATAATGAAACTAATTCAAGCCTGCTTTGAAGAGCACTAGAGGGAATTATTGCCAACTATGTCACCTTGTTTATGTCGACTCCTTACAGGTCGCTATTGATTCGGCCACTCCTCTTGATGATGCCGGTCCCAGTACAAGCTATGTGATGCCTGGAGCTGAAGTTCTGGGTGGTTATGGTGGTCCTATGCGCAGCTTTGGTAGAATGTATGGAAACCTGAGCTTTGAAGATATGGGAGTACGTGTCATATCACTCCTGATGTTCATTTTAGCTGCTTAAGCAATTAAGTGTTTATCATCGACTGCCCCTAAAATGGTTACTCCATTTTTCTTTCTGCAGTGGGGGTACGGCATGGGTGCTGGAAGACAGTCTTCAAGAGCAGATTGGAGGTTCAGACCTTATTAAGTCCCAGCATCCCTGAGCAAAACTTCATGTGCTTCATTGATTAGAGTTTACTCAGAAGGCAAAATAATAGCTTGATGAATCCCATTAGATTGATCTCTTGTGCTTGTATTTTATTTCTTTCGGATAGCCGATTAATGTTGACCGTGGACATGATCGAATCTTTCTGACTTCAATAATGTACATTATGATTATATGACCATTTGATCAGGTTGACTGTATTGTAGTGTAGCTGTAAGCCCAGATGTCTTTTTGAACTAGTTGTGCGACATGAACAAAAGCTTCATGGATAAAGTATGACCGAGTTCTGAGAATTGATTGCTGTTAAATCCTACTAGCAGTATACATACTGGTCATACGGCTCTGTACTTATAAAGTCACTACATTGATACTAGTTTCTTGGCTTAAGCGAAGACAAGAAAAGAGACTAGAAAACATGGCAGGTGAAGCAGCATCTCATGGAACGAAACCGAGGGTACTTGGACTTTGATTTGGATTTCCGAGATCTTTTGGGGATTTGTTGCTCCTGAACGATAGACACTGAGCTTCTCATTTGCTGAGCTTTCATTTGTGCTGTTGTCAGCTTCGTCAAGATCTTGTCCATTGATGATGATCTCTTCCTCTCGAGTTTCATCTGAAGGAAATTGGTAGGGTAAAGGGGTCAGTTTCCTCTATGAGTTTCTACTGATCATAGGCCATATTTATACAAAGCTCGCATGTATAGTTCAGACGAAAATACGAACCTCGAGCTTTCGCATCTCAGCCTCGGCTTTTGCCTTCTGCAAGTTCTCCCACGCAGTGATTTTGGCTTCCTCTCTTTGGATCCTGCATTTCGAAAATAACACCACCATATTAACCTAACGACTACTAAGCTTTTCGTCTGAACCACAAGATGAGGAGAGAAAGGAAGCAAGGGACTGAACCATACTTTGAGAAGTCTGAAACTGCCTCAGTGATATCCCAAGAACAACTGTTAGTAAGAGCCATGGCATTGTGATGGAATTCCGCGGGAGGTGGCAATCTTTTCTGGACTGTAGAAGCAGAAGAACGCTTTGTGGACCAACTTGTTACAGTAGCCTTCTTATCAACCTGCACTTCCCTGATCTCCATTTTACAAGGATGCTCTCTACTTCCTGAATCTAAAATAGCTAGGGGAGAAGACCTCCTTGGAGATGAGTGGTTGCTTTTGCTATCTGGGCTCATTTGAGTTGCCATATCCCTTCTTGAAACAACACGACTGACAGTATTTTCTTCATTGATCATATCCTCTTCTACTCTCTCATCTGTGTCAACGAAATATACTGCCACTTTAACCGTCAGAGATAAAACCCTAGGAAAATGTAGACGAACCGAAACACAAATTACTCCAGACTAACTTTTAACCAGCTAATCTCCTGTGGGCATCAACTACATGTATAGACAGATCTTGGAAAGGCAACATCTAAGTTCAACAGATTATGAATCACACCACCGAAAAACGTAAAAGACTGCAGCTTTTTAGTCGAGCTCGTTATTATGATCCATTCCCATGTTTCCAATCTCAAATTACATCATTGTGGCTGAAGAAAAAAGAAGGAAAAGGGGCAGTTTACCTCCTGGGGAGCTAGGCAGTGAAGAATCACTGACCAAATCTGACCAAACAGGGACACTAACCGACCTCGAGACATCGCCTCTCCCACCACCACCACCGACACCAACACCATGATTCCTTCCCCCACCAGCTCCATAATGCAAGCCGACACCATTAGGCATCAAGACCCCAGTGGAAAAGGGCGAATTGACCACGAAATTTCTCAGAGACCCAGCGTCGAGCACCTGGAGTGCAGGTGAACAGTTGGAGTAATGCACCACGCCAGGGGCCACAATCGGCCCACTCTTCGACTTGGGTCGCTTCTGAAACTGAGCCTGAGACTGAAGATGATGATGAGACTCGCTCCCGGCGCCGTGACCCATCACCGGGCTGCATACCCACCGCTCGGCGTCCTCCCATTTGGACGGCACCGCCCTCCCGCTGTAAAACGGGGTCAGCCCAGTAATCCCCCGCTGCCGGGCGGCCGCCGCCGACGAGGAGGACGGATGCGGCACCCGCTCCGAGCACCACCCTTTGTTGCTGCTGTCCTGGTAAAAACTTCTCGCCGCCGCCTGGCCGGGGATGGGGAATGCGCCTAGGCTCTGAGAAGAAGCCAGATTCTTGTGCTTCCTCATGGTTTACCCTTTTGTGCTGTTATCAATCCATGGATTCTGAGCTTGGATTGTGCTGCTTTTAGGAGGAAGGCTGGTGAATGTTTACTAGATTTATGGGTTTAGTGGAGACAAGATCGGTATTTTATATTGAGTGAGCTAGTAGCCATAGCTGCAGCTGCTGGTCTCTCTGTGCTGTACTTTTGGGTTGCCGGGTTTGGTCGAGTTTCCCATTGGGTGGATTCGTAAAGGACAAAAGCTGCATCGGTGGCTGGTTTGATTGGTCTAAATCTCTCTCCTTTTGTTGTTTTCGTAATTTCTTTCTTTCTTCCCCACATTGAAAACCTTTTGACCTTTTGGAATCACTTCATTTGGTTTATAAGATTCTCCCCAACCTCGTCGTCATTAGTTACCATGATTGAGATTTATCCATACTTAATAAAGTATGCCTACTTTCCAAACAAGAAAAGTAAAGTAAATAATAATAAAGTAGGGTGAGGTTAAACCGTATTTTATCGGTGTTGACTGTTGATGGGAAAAATTATATATCAGAGCACACAAAATAATATACCACTAGTTTATCCGATAAAATGTAAGTTACGATTTAACAATATATTATTGTTTTCCGGAAGTATGTGCGAGACAAATTAGTTTGTCCAAATTGAGACATACCCACCTAAATATTAATTGTCGATAAAGTTTGCGATCGTTATTAGTTTGGGTAGTTTTAAAAATCACGTACGATGTCACCTGTATACTAAACATAAAACAGTTCCAACATCAACATATCCGAAAAAAACTTTTGACGAATGGACGCAAGAAGCGATGAACAACATGTATCTAAGATAAATTAGCTTGCACAACTTGAGATTTAACCATACCTTGCCTATTCAAAATCTTATAATTTAGCAGCCGTTGTTTAACTGAGTTAGCTTTGGAAACCATCTACGGTATCACATTTGTTTTTAAATATATACAACGATTCCAGCATTAACATATTCGGAAGAAACTTTGACGATCAATGAACAAGCGACGAGCAACATTAATCTAAGTGGTTGTGCGTGTGTTTATTAAAACGAAACTGCAGAGTTGGCGAAAACGATTAACGATGTGATTAATTAAATTAACACATTTTGGATCTCTTTTTGGGAATGGTAACAACCTTTCCTCTGAAGCTTTGTTCTCTGCTATATCTCTAATTAAGCATGATCTCTTGGAGAAAAACAAACGTGAAAGATGGCATCAATCTGGTGATGAGATGATGATTGTGAATTGGGATTGAAGTTGATATATAGTATCAAGAATAACATGCATGATGAGGAGTAAGTTTGTTAGTTCGTTTTTATCTGTTTTTTATTTTAACCTGAACCAAATCAATAAGAAGTTTAATGGTTCGTTTTTTGGTTTTAAAATCATTCAAATTAATAAGAAATCGATGATACTCTATTAAGTTATTACTCATCAATAACACGCGTTATCATCAACTCATGTACAATACACTTATTTCCTATTTTTATGCTTATTGCTATCTTTTTTCTGACTCCATTTTTCCACTTCCCAAACTATGGATTTGGTTTATTAATTTATCCAAACCGAATCAAACCAAATCAAAACCGTTAAGAGACTTATCAATTTCGGCTAATAAATAACTGGTAAGGCATTTAACGATTTAAATTTTGGTTTTTGTTGACAATTTTCTTGTTTGATTTTTGGTTTATTATACTTAATGATTGACAAACCTAATAAGGATTCAAGTGTTAAAAAATATATGAGTAGCATAATCATAATTCATTTGGTTAAAAGTTAGCACATAGTATCGTGTCTCAAACTCACCGATTAATTCATGATTTATACAGCGAGAACCACCGTAATAAAAGTTAATTTTGGAATGTACGGTGAACAACTCCAACACATATATTTAATTCTCTTCTTGATGAATATTATGATTGCATTCACATTAGGGTTATAGGGTACATGCATATATACTAATAATCTCTGGATTTTAGTTCCAAGTTCCAAGCTAGAGGGGCTTCTCCTCCTCATCTCAAAATCTCAACATACCACGTTCTTCCTCCATGTGATATATCCTCCGCCCCATTCGCCCGCATGCATGGGCGCCGGTGATAAATAAAATACTAAAACGATTTCCATTCCCATTTTCCATTTTTGTGTCTAATACTTGACTAAGTTGTTGTTAATTGTAGATAACATAACACCATCAATTGTAGAAGACATTCTCATAGATTCGACGATCATTACATTACAAGCAATATGATAAGGAATCAAACACACGTTCTAGAGGAGCAAAACTAATGAATGAAAGGGCATTGGCTTTGATTTGTCACCTAATGGGCAGTCATGTTACTAGTAGCTAGCTCGAGAAAATGACATCCTAGAGGCGATTAAGTCGTTCATTAATCATCCACACTATATCAAAACTAGTGGATTGGATCGGATTCAAAACGAGTGATGAATTGAGCAAAATTCACCATTGGATCTGTGGATATGCATTTGTGTGAAGATGAATAACTTCATTTTTGAAGAAGTTTCCAAATTCCAACACTCTTCTTTGCTTGGAATAGTATCCACATTGTTGTTATGCACACATCCTCATTCCGAGTGTGAAGGAAACACTAAAAATCATTGAACATGCAATTGAAAAGGATACAAAAAATAATTGACGCTTACGGTTGACCAAAAAAGGTACAAAAAGTTTGAGAAGACAGGTCGCCAAGTGTGTATTCTCAATGGTAAGAAGATTCTTAATTGTGAAACTCGTTGGGATTCGACTTATTTGATGATGTATATGAAAATGGAATACAAAGATGTGTTTTTTCCGTTTGGAAAATTGCAAGCCATAGTACAAAAACTTTCATTAAGACTGAGAAATGACAAGCGAAATCGATTTACAGGAGGTTGAAGATCCTGTATAGAGCTATTTATTTTTTCTCAGGCACTGAATCCGACTGCAAACTTTGTTATTCTCGAGTGGTATGTATGTGGTATTAGAGTGAATCAATGTCCTTAGATATGCTTAGAAAAGCATGAGCTGTATTGGTTCTATGTGAACAATTTGATGGAAGTTGCAGTAAAAGGTTCTATGTTATGCTACTTTCCGAAAAGTTATTTTGAGAAGAGTAAGAACGACATAAAGCACACCCTTGGATTATAAGTGGTCAATTGGTAGTTGAGTAGGAGGAGAAATGAAGAAACTTTTCCTATGGAATTTTACTCATATGCCTCAGCAAGAAAAGGAAATGTTCGATATGAATGTGTATTTGGAAGACGCTATATAATGAAGGTTACTCGTTTTGATGTCTTTTTTTGTTTTTTGTTTTTTGAAGTCCGATAAGAAAAAATATCTTATCCTGCATGAAATTGCTAGAGATACTCTTCAATCGATTTTCAGGATAAGTGGAACACTGGAACGATCATTAGTCCTTATCATAGTGGGCTTCACACCACATGTCGAAGCCTGAATATATGGGCCTGCCCATGCTTAACTCTTCAATCGTCAATAGCCCAACAAAACTAATGAACTTACTGCGGTTGCCGGCCGCTCTCTCCAACGCCAGGCTTACTCAAGTACTGCACTTTTATGGGTGAAATGGAGATGTTACATTCATGCAATATCATGCATTTGTGGAAGATATTTTTCCATAAATGTGATCGGGTTTGTTGGACTTATAGTATAAGTTGACAAGTTGTTACCACCTTACCAATATTATTTTCCATATATAAAATGTACGATTATATTTTAATCTCATAATGTAAGGAACTGTAATTACTCTTGTTAACAAGATTATATGAATGATTTATTGTTTAGCATATATGTCAAAGTCGGAGATAAAAGATTTGAATAGTATTATACTTCCTTATGGATTAATGGATGTCTTAGGATTGGATGCTTTGCATTCATATTAAGAATGAATGTAGCTTTGTTGATTTCATGGCTTATTAGATCAGTTTAGTCTTATAACAGGAAATTTGCATGTTGAATTCGAGATATACTAATATTGAATCTACGAAACAGGTTTTACTCACACGTACCTAAAAATCGAGGGTATGAGAGTGGGGTTGCAAATCTTTCCCCGCATGGGTATGCAATGAGTGTGGGTTTTGTTATTAATGGGGATGATGATGGTTTAGAGAAACCCGCCCCATTGCCATCACTAATGAAGAGTAGGTGTAGTTGGATTGTGGGTTAACCTGCTAAAGCAAGTTTTTGACTAATCATTAAGTAAATTGACTAGCATTTGTAATAAATTGTTTAGACGAAATTAGTTAGATTGTACCAATTTAGACACCTCTCACTTTGTCTCCCATGGATACTTCTAGTTTTTGTATCCAAATTTACCGTACTTTGTCAACGCTATCTACGATTTTGATACAATTAAATAGTTTATAATCAACATCTCAACACCTAATGTATATTAAACAACATAGTAATCAATAGTAGTGATCCAAAAATATTCTTTATTTTCCATTTACAAGTCGACAGTCAGTGCGTAGTGTTGTTATGAAATATGATGATTATTTGATAGTCAACAAGAAACCAACTTTTTTTCATTTTGAAAATGGAGTACCGCTGGTCATGCAAATGACCCGCAACCCACCGGAAGTCCCAAATAAATGTGATTAACAGATTTATCAATCCACAATCCACCCACATTAATTACCTATCAACTACGGTTTGAATTTTTTTTGCGAGTGAAGTGGTATCAAACTTGAATTAACCACCCACGTGTACACCCATATATATCCTGACTGCTCTTCTTATCCAATATATATTCACGTCGACTGTGCAGTTACTAGCTAGTATGAATGTGTTATCCTTGTCGACGCAAAGAAAAAACGAAAACCCTAAAATTTCTTTTTGTTTATTTTGTTCTCTACTCTTAAAGTCAACAGTGTAGGTAGTTATCAACTCGATGTCTTATGCATCTGAAAACTGTATCACAACATTCCTGGTAGCTTTCACAACCGCTTGTTATTGTGAGAGCTGAAGCAGAATAGAAGGAGATAAAAACAAAGGAACAGCTAGCTATGGAACGAATTATCGTGATGGTTGGAAGGGAAGATGTGGACGATGTTGTTTCCACTAGCTAGTTGATTGGATTCATCCTTTTCTCCTTCTTAATTAGGCACTCTTTCTCACTACATATTTCTCATGCATATTAGGCAGTGACAGAGCTACTCAGATCAAGCAGCTGAAAATAACAA